AGCTCATCACTCCCCCACCTGTCAATAACACCATTCTTCGCAATGGCAATCTAGAGCAAGGCGGTGTCATCTGCGAGCTGGGTATCTATGGTACTTGCATCTGGGACCAGAACACAGGCAAAGTTCACCACAATGAGGAAGCCGGGTATCTTTTGCGCACAAAGGGTGATAAGAGCGAGGAAGGTGGAGTCGCTGCTGGTTTCGGATGTATGGACAGTTGCGCGTTGGTGTAGATGCTCTCAGATTCCTGGCATAGCTCTTTCGGCATCCATAAGGTATCGACATCATACAATTTCTCGTTGACAAGCAGGCCTGCCTTCCTAGAGAAATCCTTACCTGCTGCCATAGAAACTTGTCCAAATGGAGGAGAATCCGCCATGCCTAAAGAGCTGGGGCCACACATAGGACTTGCGGCCATAAGGTAGTCTTGGAGCGGAGTAGTGCTTTGACAACTCTTCCTAAACCATAGGCTCTATTCTTAGCCTGTATAAGCGAACACACGACGAAGGAATAAGTGCGTGATCAACAAAGTTTATTACATCGTGATATCATACATATCCTCCTAAGGTTGCGCACAACGCTCATCGTACGTTACATCCATACATTAACATCCAACAAAAGAAACGGGTCAAAGTGAGAGAGGAGAACAGGTAGGCAGAAAACTACGGCCAGGTGATTTATTTGCGACCATGTTACAAGAAGGAATTCAGTTGATATTTGCTGCTTACTCGCCCTGCTCAGGAGCCTGGGGACGTCGGAGAACCTCGAGGGTGCCTCAAGAATGGTTAGCTGTGGTAAATGGTATCTAGGGAGGAGTAAAAATACGCTGGACAACATTGAAGCTGCTGCGGTTCTGGCCGTTGGAGTCGGTGTAGGTGCTCAAGGAGGCATCGCCCTCGACGTAGACGCTGGCACTATATAATGGTCAGCACAAAATACCACGTGTTGCAATTGTTTTTGTAAGTCATCGTACCCTTTAGGAAGGTTCATGAGATAATCGCGCTGAGGGCCCTCGGCGAAGCTAGTGACTCGGAACCAACTGGTCTTGCGGTTGTCCCGGGGGCCGCTGTTGCTGGCCACAGCGTAGCGGAGGACTTCGCGACCGGTACTGGTGGAGTGAACCTCGGGGGTGTCGGCGAGATTACCAATGATGGTGATCTTGGCCAGAGGTCGAGGGGTGGTGGTGCTAAAGGCCCGGGCAGCAGAGACAGGGGCGACAGCGGCGCGGCGGAAGACGGAGGAGAAAGACATGTTTGCTTGCTTGCTTGCTTGCTTGCTTGCTTGTGCGATACGTTGTTGGTGAAGAGCTGAAGCTGGGAACCGGGGCGGCGAGTGTATGGGTGGGTGTTGATAAGGCGGGCACTGGAGGACTGAGCTTTGGTATGCTTGTCGCGTCAAGACGGTTTGTTTCGAAACCCTGATACGCGATAGGGTGGGCAAGCTGAAATTGGAATTAGGGATGCTCCCTTAATGCGCTATTTGATTGGATAAGATTGGAGGTGTTGTGCGACCCGGTAGATGGGTGCCGCTGACTGTGGAGTGCTGGATAACTGCATATCTACGACACTGCGATTTGAATACGACCTTGCATTTATGCGCATCAACGTTAACCTACTACCATCATCAAATAAGGTATTAAACTTCCAATGTCATGAAAGCATACTCCGTAAACCCGTTCAACTTCCGAGTGGCCAAGAAGTGGTCCATTCCAAAAGCGGACTTCGCTTCTCGGTGATTCAGAAGAAACGAGACACTTCCTACAGTATAGAATATTCACTAGCGGCGACGGACTGAAATCACCATTTCAATTGCACTTCCTTGTTCATCCTCCCGTCTACGTTAGACCGAGTGCTCTGGATCACTCCCCATAAATGATCAAATCAGTATATTCTGCGGAAAAAAGGCCATGCTCTACGGCTCAGACTTTAGCCCCGCCGATCTCTTCGCCAACTTCACCAGTATTAGATCCTGCAGACCTGTTACTACTTTGTAAATGGGCTTGAAAGCATCCATGCATGTATTGCAGCCTAGGTGCCTATTGAGCTTTATTCAGTGGTCTTGTTCGCTTACCCCTGCCAGATCCACTTACCCAATCGGGTTGTCAATAGACGCCCACAATAGCCGCGCCTTATACAAGCAGACAGGACAGTAACGCCAAAATCTAAATGGAGGCGGAGATTCCAGCTCCTTCCTTATTGAAAGGGTGAAATAGGGGGCTAATGATAGTCCTACGATCGAAACATGCTGCTGATTAGGGACACAGGAACGCCAATTGGCATGCCGCCCCTTCATCTTATCTCATGTCGAAGTGACGGTGCCGCCGTCTAATTAAGCCCTCCACCATGACACATCTCGCTGCTATTGACTTCCTTCTTCCTTCATTATATGCTATTGAAGTCCTTCTCGACATAGCCAACAGAGCCAATGCTTCCTGGGTGAGGTCCTTGTGCTTCCCGCTTTGATCAACCGTTGAGCCAAGACGTCAACGTCCGGAGCCATCTTGCATCTACCATCACCAACAACACCAAGTTTCTTTGACCTTGATAAATCTTGAGATACACCCATTCCTTCTTTAACTCCTTTTTCGTTGTCGTCATGATCGACTCAGCTCACCTGTCTGGTCGTGACGACTTGTCTATCATCGTGGCTCCTGGACCCGGAACCATCACTACTCCATCACTCACAACCAACCTTGTTTGCAGAGTTCTCTTCGGGCTCATCGCCAATTTCGCCTGTATAGTCCCCCTAAAGAACCTCTACCGTAATGGAGAATTCGCAGCCGTGGTCTTTATTGCCAACATCGCATGGTCAAATCTCGACACAATAATTAATGCTCTCATCTGGCGGAACGACGACACTAGCAAGTGGTGGAATGGCGAAGTATTCTGCGATATCAATGCTTACTACGTCAACTTCACTGGCGCCTTATTCGGAACCTGCCTCCTGGCCATCATGCGGAATCTTGCCCAGCAAGTCGGCCTCCTTCGTGCCAATGCCCTCACAGTTCGGGAGAAACGCCGGCGTAACTTGGTCCAGGCACTCATCATGTTTCCCCTTCCAATCATCCAGGTCGCATGGGTCTGGCCATTGACTACTCAGAGATACGCAGTAGCTACCCTGGCTGGATGCAGCTGGATTGCATGGCCTTCGTGGCCCTATATAGTCTTCTTCGTCCTGGCCCCTGTTACAGTCGCACTGATAACATCTGGATATGCAAGTAAGTCTATGCCTCCCTAACCACGTAGCCATAGATAAGTCTAAGGTAGTTAACGCCACACAGTCCTTGTCTATATACGCTTTCGTGACATTGCAAAAACCACTCGTTCGGCGGTCAACAGCAGCAGGTCTGCTAACCAACGCGCTCAGAGGACGAAGCGTCGCCTTTACTTAATGGTATTGGCCATATTAGTCCCTTATCTACCTTTTGTGGTCACCCTTGCTGTTCTCAACATGCTGAAGGCATTTCCTCTTCAACCCTTTGATTACGACCTCATCCATAATCGGGTGATACCCTATCCATGGTCGGCAGTCATTTTTGTCCCTTCCAATGGTGTTAACTTCGGGTATCTGAACAACTGCTATATCCACATACTTTCCGCCATTCCTGTCGTCATCTTTTTCGGCATGACCAAGGACGCTATGAATAGTTATCGTCGCGGCTTGCTCTGCCTTGGCTTTGGATGTCTCTTTCCCAAGCTTCACGAGGAGTATGACCCTGACAGGACAATCGGTGGGAGCAGTTCTGGACACTCTCGTTTTATGGGTTCCACCACTTCGACGTGAGTAAACAACTGGGGAGTTTCATGTTTGTATAACTAATGTTACATAGTACCTCTTCGATATCGAGCAAGATCAGGAGTCTTCTGTCTCAGCGCAATTTGAGCACAGCGTCCTCTGCAAGCCTCAACCCAATATCTTTACAGTCCACCGACGCTCCTCTCGTGACTCATGAATACGAGTTAGGATCTCGAGTGGGAGGGTTGCAAGTATCACAGTCCCCGTTACGGGAGATTTCCTGCCCTCCCCCAACTGTTTCGACTTCATCAGAACCCATCAACCCAGCTCCTCGTAACCCTTTTCTCTTCCGGACGCGCTTCGACATGCCCACCATTCCATTTCGTTCAATCTCCTCATTTCGTTTCGGCAAGAAGAAGGATAAACGATCCCCACTTGATCACGGTTTACCTCTTGACTCTCTCCCCTCCGTCATCAACAACCAGTTGTGGGAGAACAGCTCCGCTCCGCAGCCTTGCAGTCAGACACTTGTTTGGGCTGATAGAAAGATCGTCCCAGCTCCCGGTATTTTTACTACCGAATCCAGTCTGTTGGTTCCTATGTCGTCGACGTATGCTGTCACAACTGAACCACTGCAGGAAACATATCGGCGCTAGGAGCGCACGTATGGCTGGGTGAGATGATAAGCACCATACATTCAGTTGATGCAATGGGAGCCTTGCCTTTTATCTTCCTTTATCACCATTTTGTTTTTCATGTAGCCCGTGTTATCCGTACCAGGGCTCAGCATCATTGCAGGCGACGGCGTAGGTATGAAAAGCTTTTACTCTAGTTTAGATGTACGTCGTCAAGTACTTTTACAAGTCTTAATAATCCACTTTTCATGAACTCCTTTTCCCCTTTTACTGTTGATTAGTTGGCTATTGAGCTTAGATGAGCCTAAATTTGGACTTTGCCATCGATTTGAGAGTGAGAAATGCACTAGATTAGTCCCTACGTGTTTATCTAGTATATATAATGTAACAAGGAGCCTTCCGAGCTCCAGTATCATATTTTACCCATACTTCGTAACCACCCCGCCCCAACTTTTAATAGTGACCGTGAAACCCATTGTTATCATAATAATCAGAAAAGATAGAAAATAGGTATGTGAAATGGCTTGGTAAAGGAAAGGAAAGAAAAGAAAAGAAAGAAAAAGAAACTAATTCGGAGCACAATAGATCAAGAAGAAAAAAAAGTTAAAAAAAAGTTGCTCAGGGCATTGATTACATGTCTTTGGCGTGCCTCTGGAGCTTACGCATAGCCTCACGATGAACGTCAAGAAGGTCGCCATTTCGCATTCGTTCGTCGAAGGCTTTGTCAGCCCATTCCTTTTCCCGCTGCTGTGTCTCGCGGCGCTGGGCTTCGGCTTGCTTTTGACTCAAAAGGATGTTACGACTCATGTCTACACTGCGCTGGACCTCAACTTCTCTGCTGGCCAAGAGAGACGATGGGGTGAAGGGTGTCTCACGGCCAGAACTGCTAATGATAGGGGTACCTGCGCGTAACTCATGCTGAACTGACTGTCGGAATGTCGCAAGAGCAGCCTCGCGGGCTGCAGAGGTGGGAAGAGTTGACACACGTTTCGGTTGGTGGGTGTTCAATAGTGCTTCTGAAGTATTGAACCCATTACCGTTGCTGCCGCCACTGAGCCGCTGCAAAGACGGTGTTGAAACTGAAGGGCTTAGACTACTCTGTCGCAAGAGTTCTTTCCTCTGATTCAATGGCAAGTCGTCCACATCTACACCAATAGCAGCTGCATGCATCGGATAATTGCTGAGAGATCCTGCGTCGCTCGAAGCTCTGTGGCGTGTGGCAAGGTTCAATTCGGATGAGCTGGACACCAGGTTCCCTGCCGATTTATTGCGCAGATACATTTCTCGTTGGCCAAGGAGAGTCTGGGGGCTAGAATATGATATAACGCCTGGTGTTGAAGTGCGTTGACTTTCATTTGCCGCTGGAGTAGTCATGTTTTGCACCCCCATGGTTTCCTCCTCAACAATCGGTGGAGTCAGGCTTGAAACAATTTGTTCTTCTGCAATTGGAGCGATCCCGCCCGAGGCTATTCGCAAGCCTCCCGAAGAAGTTCGTGCCATAAGGCTACTAGTTGGAGTGGTCCCAGGGCTTCGGTTTTGACTCTCGCCTGTGAGCAAAGCGAGAGCGGCTGGAACGTGTTGTTTCACGTTGCGCCTTGAAGCTGTGTGCGAGTAATTGGACGCCTGAGAGTCCGGCCTTGGAATCATGGGTGCAGGGGTTCCTTCGGTTGACGATTTTCGGAGCTCGTCGACATGTACAGGTGCGGGCGCCTCAATGGTCGGAACCGCTGGGTTTTGCAATACCTCGATGTGAATTTCATCAACTTCCGGAGCTTCAGCATTGCTCAGATGTTTCGCCCACTCGTTGGTTCTATAGGAAAGTGCTACCCGCGAGAGTGACCTAGGTAGACGATCTTTAGTCAAACTAACACGGGCTGATGAGCCAGAAGTCGCGGATCTGGTCTTTTCCACGTCAGCCGAGGGAGGCTCTTCGGCCTTAGTAGCTTCGTTTCCATCGGCACGCACGAACGTCTCCTGGTCGATTGGGGGCGGGCTCGGTTTGCCCTTATCATCCGTCTCAGAGAGCTCGGCGTTGATCTCAATGCTCTTCGGGAGCTCTGAAATCGGAAGGGACTGGCGAACATCACCACTCATGCTGTCGTCATCAATTGTCGCCGCAACTGAGCCGTCATCGTCTCGTGGTCGCGATCGTGGAATCACTAACTCATCAGTACTTTCGCCATGTTCGTTTTCTGGATGGTCTCCAAAGACACGACTAGATCGGTGTGAAATGTTGCCAAGAAGCTCCATTGATCCCCGGGACAGGCGAGAAAGTCGTTTAGCAAGCGAGTGTCGTTGGCCCGAAGTATGAATTCCAGTATCTTCTTCTTCTTCTTCGTCGGCGAAGGTCGCCACCGAGGAACGATCACCGTTCGTCAGCGCATCATAATTATCATCAGCGACACGAATGGTGAATGGGAGAGGAACGACAGGAGGCACAGCAGATTTGGCCACAGATGACTGTGTCGACATGCGCCGATCAACCTCATCGCCTTTGAGAGGGAGATTTTGCATAGCAGTTCCGGTATCCAATTGCTGATCCCCTCTCCCCATGGTTGACCGTACTGTATCGTCCGTGGCAACGCGAACTGTGACCCTGCCATCTTCATCTTGGTCAGAAGACATCAATGTGACGGTAGGCTGTTTTTTGGTTTCAACAGCATCTGGCATCTCCGCCATTTCGATGACCTCAACAATCGAAGTCGAGCGTGTTTTAGAGGAGTCCGTTTGGCTGCTGCGATTCCTTTTTTCGTTTGTGGGCTCTGCATCGTCCGAGTCACGCGAAGCTGTCAAGCTTCCGACGTCCCCATCACCATATATTCTCTCCCATTGGCGCCTTTCTCGAGCGTTCGCTTCTTCTATGTTCCGGCCTACTTGCTCCTCTTCCTCGCGGAGGTTGCGCTCTCCTTCGGCAGCTTCCTCCGCCTTCTTTTCACGTTTCTCCCGGACAATTTTCCATAGTTTGATCTGTGAGATAATACCAAAGAGGAAGAAGATGATGATGGCTGCAGTTTCCACGCGGATACCCTTAGTAACCGGGTATGTATTTGCGCCAAGAGGGAATAAATCATCGTTCAGATCCCAAACCCAGGCCCAAAATTCCTTCAGACCAGCCCGGCTGAAGCAGTCTATTCCCAAGACTGTAACAGTGGCCCCAGAAAAGGCGATCATAAGGATAAGCGACCAGTCCCGAGTATAATGGCTGAAGTAGAATGCAAACCCACCCACGGTGAAGCAAGCAATAAAAATGGCTTTTGCAACCACAGGTCCGAGTAACCCTCCAGGAACTAAGCAAAGAAGCCACATGCTAATACAGAAGCCACCCAGGGCACAGCCTAGACCTTCGGTGATCTCCCGAAAAAACATTGAGGCTCCGCCGAGGACGCACCCGGAGATGACAGCGGCAACCACATAGCCCCCCTGTAGAGCATCACTGACTTCGGATTTCATGACATAAACAATGAGAACGGCAACGCCCAATGATGCAGCGAAAGCAGTTGAAAAGAAAGTATGGATCATTCGGTTTTTTATCCCGACAAGGCCATATGCGAGGCCAGTAATAAGTAAGATAGTTCCTGCAACGCCCCAGCCCGGGGTGAGCCTAGGCTCAATGGGCAGCTGTCCAGCGGGTATCGTAGCTAGAAAATATTAGCTAATGTCCCAATCAATGTTTTCCGTCTATCAATACCATTGTAGTACGAGGAATCATCAAGTCCGCTTTCAAGGGAGCCATCTGTGCTGGTTGATGCAGGGTCTGAACTTTGTGTTTTCTCCGTCTCAGTGGCAGTCACTGAGATAGATTCGGTTTGAGACTGAGATTCTGAGGCATCAGAGAGTTCTGTCTGCCTCGCGGAAACCTCGCTAGTCTTCGTGGCAGTACTGTGTCCACGTGTTGACGTTGTGCTGGAATCGATTGCCGTTGTCTTCTCTGGGTTGTCGTCCGCTCTCGGAACTACCCTAAAAACCTCCCCGCTAACATGCTGCACAATCAAAAGTAGACAGAACAGTGCCCACAGCCGAGGCCACCGAGAGTGCATTGTTCGTTGATGGGGTAAGTTGGTGTGTAAGATGTTGATGATATGAAACCCAAAAAAGTCGTCGCAATGGTATGAGATTATGCAAGCATCATAAAGTGCTAAGCTCAAGGTGTTCGAACTAGGGTTGAAATAAGAAAAGAAACAAGAGAGAAAGACAGAGGCCTAGATCGAAAGCAGTTGAGAAGTGATACTGTTGCGTGAGATTCTGGTCGGATTAGATTTGGTTCATCGAAATTTTAGTTGGCAACGGAAGCGATATCAGGATAGCAGGTGGTAGAAAGCAGAAATGAAAAAAAGAACGTATGACCAAGGCGCTTTTGGTGTAATCTCAACCGCGACTATATTCAACAAATGGATGTGATAATATCGACGTCGAATCGGCAGCACAGCGCGGGACATCAGAGAAACAGAGCAAGCCCTCAAATCAAGATCCTACACCTCCAGAGGAAACAAGCGCAGCTATAAAAGAGAGAAGAAGAGGTGACAGAAAGTGGTTCAGGAACCAAAAACCGGGAAGGGTGTGGCATCATAGTTATCAGCTGCTGAGTGGGTGTGATCCTCACTTTCAAGATCCGATGGTGGGTGATGGAGTCGAGACGGATGCAATGGGATGGAGACGGGGAGAGCGGCTGGGTATACCCTTGTTAGCATGGCCCAAGATTAGCAATGACTGGACGAAACAGCAGCAAATGGCGCGGCCGTTGAGAACAGCCTCTTGGGCCAATTTCCCAAGGGCCTCCTGTGACGCTGTGATGTTGTGATGGATGGTCAACGAACGACTTACAGGACATCGCGGTCCACCGTCTTCCTGGTCCTTGGCTTGCACCAGCTTGCGATTACCCACTTTTCAGGTTACCCTGTTCGGGATTAGCCGGTGGGGATCACGGCTCAAGCACCCCAAGACACTTGGCGGCCCACCCCTCATCGACTTGAAAGGCAGCCAATGGCGGCCAAGAGGTACCTGTTTCGAGTACTTTCAGGTACAAGCTCGGCCCAATTAGGCCACAGCCGACCTTGTTTCATTCAACAGGCTTCCCTTTAGTAGTAGGTAACTACCCTACTCTGTAGTAGTCTACCTAAGGCTCGTCGAGTTAACAGCCGAGTCGTCAATAAATCGCTACCTCTATCAATTGCTCCATTAAAGAGTGAGCAAAATTCAATTCCTCTCTGACAATGACCCTTCATCTCGTAGCTCAGTAAGGCTGATACAGTTTTTGAATCATCCTCGCCTCACAACCTGGTCGTATCTTTCCGAGACGGAATGCATAAGAGCCGCGCCTTTCGCTCCACCTCCCACACACAGACATGCTTTTTCTCAGATTGCACATTACAGGGATTCTGCTGAGCGGCTGATTAGTAGCGGGTTTTGTGAGAGCACACAGACTCTATGTACTGGGGCAGTGGGGCTGCCACTAGGTCTCCATTTTTAGGTATCCCTGTAAGACATCTAAATCCATTTGAATGAGGCCTTTTGGATGGGCACAACATGCTGATTACTACACACATTCAAACCTGTCGCTGCTGGCCTTGCGCTCTCAGCTGGGGAGATGTACAGTACTCTTCCTGTTGGCAGATTCCGTTCGACCAAATGAATGACGTGACTTCATCCACGAGAAAGACTTTCGTTAAAGCGAAGAGAGAGTATTGCCTGGTGAATGTGTCTCCCCCTCGCGATCTTCTGAGAGCAAATCCTTGTCTCCCCTGCGATGGGTATCAAAAGCAGGCAGACTACATACTGGTAGCAGGCTGTTGCAAGCCATCAAACGATGCTGCAAGCAACTCTGCTTCCAACCGATGTCATGGTCACACGTAGCTCAATTGGGGTCAGTCATGCATCATCACCACTCGGAGTCCACGAAATTATTGGTCTTGCGAATGGGCCAATCTACGTTGCATTTTACCCTGGTCTGTCTCAACAGATCTTTCTTTGCCCTTGGACTAATTATCAAGGGCCATTGCCTTCTCCAGCTGCGCCTCGAAAGCCCCCATCAGTGCCGTGTCTCATGACAAAAGTATATGTTGGCTGTGATATTACACACAAGTCACCCACAGCGTGGCACACCGACTCACCAATAAACTCTGCTCTGTCTCAGAAGAGACAATGCTATGTATGTATGTCTGCCAGCGACTCAGCCCCTCGTTATTTCATAGGGATTCTCTTCTACCAACCGGAACGAAAAAGGTCAGACCTTGACTTGTGTAAAATTTTCGGGCTGTCATCCAAGCTTCTAATATAAGTCTCATACAACGTGCGTACGTTAACGCCTGTGGCCCATCATCCAGGGTCCATTTCGAGTCTCACAGCACGCAGAGTAAATTCTCTTCTTTTCTGAAGGCCCAAGCGTTGCCTTGATTGTTCTGAACATTTTGGCTTCTCACTGAAGTGTTCTCATGTCTGTTTCTGTCATATGATTGAGGGGCTTTGCTTCCATATGCACATCAAAGCAAAGATCTTTAGGTGGCCTTTGAATTTGCTGCAAATGCCTGGCTAGGGGAGGAAAGAAAACTTAGGACCTTAACCCTAAATGATAAAAATACTTAGGTAAATCTAGCCTAAACTTAGGGGACTCTTTACCAAGTTTATTTTGACACCCTATAATAAGGTCCGATGTTTTCTTGCCCCCTGAGGCCTGAAAGTGATATGCGTGAATGGCCGTTGAGGCGTAGGCATCACTTGTTCGTTGAGTTTCATTAGCCGTCAGATGTCTTGCAGATTTGCTGTAGTTAATCATTGGCTTCAGTCGTCCGTTCCGGTCCTGGCTGAACTTATATTAACACTGGGGGGTTTTTGATTTCAAGTGTATTGACATGCAAAACAGACATCTATTGGCAGGCGTCCAGCAATGGCATTCAGGACAGTCCAAGGCAAGCGATGGTCGCATAGCACGAAATGCAAAGCCTGCCGGTGCATATGTATGCCAGCAAACAAAGACAGCTTTTTTATCCAACAACTGGACAGATAAAAGCTGAGAATACTAATATACTAGCTCTCGATCAGTCGCTTAGCAAATCGGCAACGGCTTGATCAGTTTCAAGGCCATGCCAGCACCTTATCTCGTCGGCAGAACTTGTGGTTCACCATAGCCAGGCAAGGTCATAATCCATGATCGAAGATGGACGTATTTGCGGATACAACCTGTACCAGCTGATACTTCCATAAATCCTCGTCTCTTTACTCTTTTGGAACATACGCTACTGTACCCGGACACCAGCGCCGACCGATAGGACGCGTCTGGAAATTAAAGAGATTAAAACGCTCCACTCTTTTTGTTTATCGTTGTTGGTAAGCTTCAGCTGAACAACAAGCTTATAACAGGCCATATCATGGGTACATTCACCATGGATGCCATCACGTCCAGCTCGTGCTCTTCTCGCCTATCTTGTCACGGGAAGATCATTAGCCAAAGTAGAGAGACGCGCACCCCCTGTCAGCCTTGTTTCCCTCCATGAGACTGGGAGAAGCAGCGGCAAGCGTCGTATGAAGAGACTTGTTACGGACAACGTTGGGGTCAATACCGATATCCAACACGGTGAATGTGAAAATGGGTCCAACGTTAGCTTATTGTTTATGTGAAATTGCACGTCACCCGTCATCCTCAACATCTACTTCTATCGCCTGCAAGCGAGGTGTGCAACGAATGACTGGTCTCACCCTGTGTATTTTGTTCCCACGTACAGAGTATTGTTCCACCAGTTGAAAGGCCCATTGTTCTGGGTGAAATATGTTGATCCAGTTGCAGTCTCTTGAAGTATCACTCATTGCTACTGGGATATTCTTGATATCGAATCAACAACAATATCCTAAGACCCGTTACACGCACACGAAGCGCAGAACATTTGTCATGCCTTCATCATGTTGCAGAACCAGCGTGCTCCTAAGGGCAACTTGATCATGTCTTTGACTTCCAGTCAAAGGCTTGGTATAGTGACCGATACTCAGCTTTAGGTTCAATAATTGACAAGGCTCACTCACACCAACCTCATGCTGTTAGACCTTGCCGGCTTATTGGCGATGGGATTCCTGGCCACGTGCTGTATTGGACTTGATGGACCAAAGAAACAAGGGCTGACGCGATCGATGATCGTGCAATCTGTTTGAATTTTCTCTATCCTCGACACACCTTTGTCCATCCCTGTCAAGCTTAGCGCCTCGCTGATATTACCTACTTATGATTTGCAGATTCAAGCATCATAGAACAGCATGACAGCACATGCACAACTTATCATCGTAACATCCGGATGTGTGACGCGGTAAAGTCAATTCCCAGTTTCGACCACCTCCATCTATCCATAAGCTAATTGCCTCGAGTTATATGTAGACCAAGTCGAGTTCATACAGGGAAATGTATGCAAGTTGAACAACCAACCTTTCTATATCACCGACTCGAAACTAGCTTATCCTGAATCATGGGCATATCTTTTTGGCTCGCATCGATTTTGGCGAGAGTGGCGCTCATTAGATTCAACCTGAGACAAGGACGAACTTGCACGAGCTGGTTTATCTTTATGATTGCTGAAATCACCCGAGATTCAGGACGGTCGTCGACCTTCGTGTACTGATGGCCTCAGCTTGGCTTCGTCAGTCGTGAGAAGCCTTTTCTTTTTTTGGGAGCTCATTCTTGCGCTTTGTACACCTACCTCACATCCACTCATTCCAACCAAGAAGCCTGAGTCCCCCTACCAATGAATCGGGCACAGGTATGGATGCAGTATATGGATGTTATTTAATGAACCCTGTAAGTCAAAACCGTCCAAAACCAGCTTCTAAATTTATAAGTAAATATAAAATCAGCAAGTGTAACTGTAACATTCAATACGAAGTCATGTTCAGTGTGTGTGTCTCGAAAGGTATACGCCAGTGATGAAGCTACTAGCTGTAAATCATTCTCGAGAGTTGTCATAATGAATAGGTATCGTTTAAGGCCTATTACACAATGCGTACTCGCAACGCTCCATTATCGCTTGGCAACTCTGGATGGAACTCTATCACCATTATATCT